ATAAAATCTATCTTTTTGATTGCTTCACCCAATTGTGCATGAGCTACTAAAAGATTTTCTTGAAGTCTGCAGTTTTCATTCATTAAGCTAAGGTGCTCTTTTTGGAAGTTTTTAAAATGATGGAGCAATGCCTCCATATCAACACTGGTTGAGTTGGAATAATATGAATTGCTCGAGGAACAGGATAATACCTCATCATTGTCACCTTCATAGGATCTGGCCATATCATAGTTGTGAGAGGAGCTATTTTCTGGAGTCATTCCAAAGAAGCAAGTAATAGCCTCCTCCTGCCTTTCTGATGAGCAGCTTTCATCATTTGAGCTGCTTTGATCATCTTCTGATTGACTCTCCGTGAGTTCATCCCATACATCCTTTGTTTTCCAGTCATTGGATTTGTTGCTGTTGATCAACAGATTCTTTGCTTGTTGTTCATCCATCATTTAGAAAGTTTTGGGATAAAAGTGGATTTGGATCTTTAGTTCAAAAGTAGTCAGAAACTGACTCTAGGAACACACCGCTCTGATACCACTTGATGGTCCCGGATAGAGGTAAAAGTCTAGAGGGGGGGGGGGGGGTGAATAGACTTTTAAATCTTTTTCAACTTTATGAAGTTTTCCCTCTAGATGAGTTGATCTATAATCTTTTAAGAGATTAATAGATGCACAGCGGAAGTCTTTAACCTCTTTATACTTAGTGTGAGATAACTTTCTAGTTTAGATGATGTTTAGACTGGTTACAAGAGGAAGTAGGCTTGGCAGTAGACTGGTGAGCAGGTAAGTGCTTAGTCTACTGCTGCACAGGCAGTTTGCTGACTGGCAGGCAACTGCTGAGTTGGCAGTCGGCTGGTGGGCAGGTTACTGCTGAGGCAACTGTTAAGAACAGGATGACTCTTGGATGGCTTTTTGTTCTGGCTTGTTATGGCTTTCGGAAAGACACATATGGATGGGCAGTGGGCTCAGCAGGAGGGTGAAGACCAGGGTACTGCTGAGGCACCTTCTGAGTGTAAGATAACTTCTAGTGGAAAACACTCTCAAGGAGAGTGAGTTATTAAGCAGTAGGCTAAGCAGTACAGTCGATGAAGACTACTGCTTAGGATGCTGCTGGCAAACTACAATCCTTTAGTGAGATGTGTTTGGTGTGTGCTCTGCATGTATGAAAGTAAATCAACACACGATATATCCTGGTTCAGAGGTGGTGTAATCCTCCTACATCCAGTCCCACCCTATTTCAGATGGATTTCCACTAAAGTATTCAGCCCAATACAATTAGTGCCAATCTAGCCTTGACAACTCTGGCCTAGATTGAAGGTTTTTCACGATGAGTATAACACCACTCAAAGTTACTCAGTCCTTAGACTTTTCTCAATTGATCCAGTGGGGATCAAAAGGTACTCTATCTATCTAACCACACTATAGGATCCGAACAACTGTTCTCCTAAGTGTTTACAACAACATGAATTGATTCACGTAGTGTCTAACCGCCAACTAAAACCTAAGCTCTATAAATGTTACAATGAATAATCTAGTCTAAGAGCTTAGTGAAGCATGAGTCAAAGCAGAGTGTTCAAGCACTTTTTCCTTTGCTGGATATGCGTAGTGTAATGACTGAACCACTTGCTTTGAACTCAATGACTTGCCTTTGATCTCATGCTTCTGCCTATTTTTATAGGCATCTCCAGTAGATTAATCTCCTCCGTTGGTTAAGAGGATTTAATCCTAGACGTCCAAAGTTTTGTACTTGCGTCTTCTTGTGTTGGAGCAGGATAAGGATTTGTCTTTTGAAGACCACTTGCTTTGTACGAAGATAACACCCATACCTTAGGCCTTTTTATCGCTGCATGCCTATTCTGAAACTCCTTCACTATTCACCTATTCTGATGTCTTCTCTGCTCTTGCATTCTGAGTGTATTGGCCTTGTCTTGCAACTACACCTGTGAAGCTGAGTGCGTGGACCTGCTCAATTTGTGTAGTGAAGTAGTAAAGTGTGTGACTTAGAATATTTTGTATCAAATAAGTTTTGTACTGGTAGGATCTTTGAAATATCCTATTAAGGTAATAAGATTACCTTATTGCATTTTGTTCTTTCTAGTACAATTTATTTGGTACAAATTTCACAGTAAAATTTGTCACTTATTTTACTAATCACTTTCTTTCTTTAAGTGACATGATTTAAACTTATGTACCAAATTAAAGCTATACTGGTTGGATCTAAATATCCATGTAAGGTAAATAATTTTTACCTTATTGCATTTTATAGTTCCAGTATGTTTAATCTGATACATAGTTTGTACATTGGAATTCTTGTCACTTTTAAGTACTTGTGTAGTTTAGCAGGTATTGTGTACAACTTAACTGGTAGGATAACAAATCCTGTTAAGGTAAAAGTTATTACCTTATTGCATTTTGTGTTCCAGTTAGTTGTTCACTATTCTTGTTCACTTTGATTTATCTATATATCAAATAACACTTTACTGGTTGGATTTAAATATCCAATTTTAAGATAAAGACAACTTTACCTTATTTCATTTTGAATCCCAGTGTGTTCTTTTTGTTATATAGATTTTACATTGTTATTTGTAGTGAATAGAATATCAAGAACTCTTCTTCTGAGTGTATGGTTTATCTAGTATTTCGAACATGATAAGCTAAATATTTAACTGGTAGGATATCAACTCCTATTAAGGTAAAATTACCTTATTGCATTTTGTTTTCCAGTTAAAATAGATAGTTTATTTGTGCTCCTTTTTATTGTGTGTAACAAATAAATTTAACTGGTTGGATTTATTCGATATCCTTTTAAGGCAATACAATATTTCCTTATTGTATTTTATGGTTTTCCAGTCATATTTATTTGTTAACTATATAAAAAGGAGCATGACACATCTAGATAATTTTCTTAGTACTAGACAACTGCAAGATGCTACTACAGAGGATAACAAAGACTCTTATAATAATGCTACAATAGAGGGGGGATAACAAAAGCTTTTGGCATCATCAAAACAGTTCATCAAAATCTAGGGTCTAACAAATAATCAGTCATGCGCTACGTAAAACATTAATCGTTTTACAATTGTTTGGAAATCGGGAATTCAATACATAGACGTTCAATTTTTTTTAAATTGAATTTTTAAGGACGTTCGAGTGCGGTGTCACATTCTTCCCATAAGGTGTTCAGCCGTCCATAATAGGCTGATATTGTATCTCCATTCTGCCTGCATCCTCTTATCAAATCTTTAAGTTCATAAATCCGCATCGAGTCTCCAACGGCAAACCTAGCCTTTAGATCCTCCCACATATCATAAACGTCGTCCATATAGGCAACGTTTGAAAGCAGCATTGCGTCGATTGCCGTCATAGCCCATCCTACCAGCATCGAATTAACATTGATCCAGTCTTCGATGTCTTCTACAGGTTCGGTCGGGTCATACTGCCATCTACAAAGCCGTTCTTCCACTTAGCGCGAAAGGCGTTTTGCATGGCGGTCGCCCATTGTCGGTAATTCCCTTCCCCCTTAAAGGTGAACCTGCAGATATTCTGACCCGGTGAATCCGAGCTCGCCAAGTAGTAAGGGGATGAGGGATCGGTGATCTTTCGTCATCGTGGTTCCTCGCCGGTCATGTTGTCAGTCGGATAGTTTCAAACTACCGCTCTGATACCATATAAAATAAGAGTTTTATGTTCGGTGAAATTGATCTGCCTTCTCATTGATACGAATGGTACATATATACATGTATGCTTCAGTCGTGTGAAGTGATAAGATCAAACAAAACTATCTCTAAAACTAGATAACAACTAGACTACGTAACTCCAGCTATACGGCCAAGAGAATAGGAGAAAAATAATATGTAAAATATGTATATAAAAAAAATGTACAACAAATAACGTACACAATATGTACGTAAATATATTATGCCATGCGTCCAACACTACCTTCTTTTTGGAATTCTCTTGCAATAATTTCTGTAGTTAATACGCATAATTCTTTTGGCACATTAACTATGACATTCATTTTCACTTTATTAACAAGTGTGTCAATTTAATGTTAGAATCTATTATAGGATAGAGTAACATCTGACAAATTAAGCCTTCATGCATGCAGTATCAAATATTTTAGTATTAAAACCTTCATAATTGATAAGGTCAGTATAAAGTTTTTGTCTAATTATGTAGGGAACTGATTTTGATATTTGTTTTTAAACTTTAATGTCAAATTGCATCAATTAAACTCTAATTATCATGTTTATAAGTTTATACGGCTAGAATGAGGGTCGTCTTGAGCCCCTTTTTGAATGTATGCACACACAAATCCGTATGGTTTATAAGAGTAATACAAATATAAAATTGTAACCACTAATATAGCAATATGAAATTTTGATCCTCTTAATAATAAAAATTAGTTTGGATTTTGAATTAATATATGCCACAACAAATTTACTTTATGGATCCGCCAGTGATTGAAAATGCATTATTATATTAAAAGAAGGAACAATTGGGTCTTTCTAATGAACTTATTCCAACCAACATGACAATAATTATATACTATCGCTCTTTTATTATTCTTTCTGCAACATGTCCTGAAGGAATGAATACTAATTTTGTGAATACTAATTTTGCCTGTGTATTCCCTCATCGACATCAAACGTGCCTTAAAATAACATTATATTGATGATTACTTTGTAAAAGGAATACCTAATGAAAAACAGAGTGGGTACATGAAATATTCAATCAACGTTATCCTTTTTTTATCATCAAAACAAACCGCTCTATATTAATATCATAAGGAATCGGATCGTTACCACAAATTCAACAAGACTAACACTAACAATAATTATCTCTAACCAACTAGCACTATCAACCCTACGGCTAGACTCAGAGACGATCACCCCTGAAAGAGCAATACGAATCGCTAACCACCAAGCGGGTGTGACATAGCAATCACTGACCATAAAGATCCTTCCATCGACATAATATATAACAGAATTGTCAATTATTATTGTAGACCTAAAATTAAAGACATCTTCAAAAAACAGAGCAATGTAAAACATAACGAAAAAATAAAAACATGGAAAATTCAATAACTGATAAAACTTCCAAACCCTAGCAACTCGATCGCTCCAAGGTGGCGGTTCAGGGGGTGGATTGCCAATTTGTGTTCTCCCTTGCTCAACACTTCACCTCTCCTCATCTTCTGGTCGCCCGTGCCACCTCCACTACCAACATCGACCTCTATCCATGTTGATTTGCCAAAAACTAATCCTCCAACATCCTCCTCAACTGCAGGACTGAGCCAACGCTGCTCTAGATCATTCACAGGAATCATAATTATCCTTTGTTGAACCTTGGATTTATTTCCAAAAACTGCTGCTACACTCACTTCTCCTAAATCCCAAAGCCAGAAACAACAATCTAAAATCAAGAAACAATCTAGAAGCTTAGAGAAGAAGAGCCGCACAAACAATTGGTGGAAGGAAAACCCTACGCGACGGCAGAGCCGGTAGGGAGGAAAAACCCTACGCGGCAGAGCCGCTAGGGAGGAAAAAGCCCTACGCAGCAGAGCCGCTAGGGAGATCTCGATCCACACTATCGTTAATAAGTACTCTACGTACTATAGGTCGTATACAATTTTTGTAGTCACATTTACTCAATTTTAATTTGTGTGTATAATATTCCATCGGTCCCTTAAAATTCTTTCCAATTACCTTTTTGGAATATCTGCAAAAAAATCAATTTTTTTTCTAAAAAAGTGTTGTGTGACTAACATTTATTTACCTTAACATTTTTACTCTATTCTCATTTTCTTAATCACTAATACAAATCAAATCGGGAAGAATTTTATGAGAAGAAAGGAATTATACATTTTACTTTAAAAATAATTTATATGGTGTAAAGCTGATAGAATGATGGTATTCCCTTTATTCTAAATTGATGGTCACGTTTGAATTACAACATTTAAATTCCAACAAATTAATTCCTTTTACATGATATGTAAGTGAGCATTGTTACTTAAAATTTAAGAATTTATGTTATTTCTTTCCCGTTGGACGATGGTGAATATGTTTTTCGACTTATCAAGCTTATCAGTCAACTTTTTCATCAAATACGTATTTTTTGATTTCGCACGTTCAATTGTGTAATAGTATCTCCTTCCCACTAAGATTGGGACAAGAGAAGGTGACACCATTATTAAGAAAAGTGAGTTTGTGTGGTTGATATTAAATTGATAAAGTAAGAATAAAGTAAGAATGGTTTAGAGTCACACAAACTTCACCAAATTTGGTATGAGACAATCTTGACTTCCCGAAAAGATAAAATGAGACACTCTTAGCGGGACGGAGGTAGTAATATATAAGAAAAAGTGAGGTTAAAATTATTTTATGGTTGTATTAGCTGAAATTACTGTACATCGGAGAATCAATTTAGCTATTTTTTATATAATTTTTTTCTTTATTTTTTAATGAAATAAACCAGCAGAATTAGCCAAACTTAAACAGAATAGAACGGACTTAAACAGACTAGAGCAGACCAGACTTAAACAGATCAGACCAAACTAGCAAATTACTGTCTAAGTAAAAACATCCTTAGCCAGAAATTCATAAGTTTCAACAAAATTAGCTAATTCAGCCGATTTTGGTCATTATTAAACAGGCTATTAATGTGAAATAAAAAAGAGAAAATTATGTAATTGAAATTTTTGAAGAGAAAAGAGAAATAAGTCGACTCACAAATTCATTATTTTTAAAAGAATGTACTATGTAATAAAGTTTTTTGCTATGTTTAAAAAACCGACCCGACCCGACCGGGTTGACCCGGAACCCGGTGACCCAGACAAAAAACCGGTTCGGTTTTTTCAAAACCCGGAAATGGTAAAAAACCGGAAAAACTCGGCTGACCCGGGAAAACCCGGTCAAGACCCGGACCCAAGAAACCCGAAAAACCCGGTAAAACCCAGTTTTTGGGTGTTTTTTACCAAAAAAAAAAAGTAATTTCTTTTTTATTTTTAATGCATTTTTTATACCAATAAAATTGCAATTTCAATAGCTTAAAAAGAAAAACTATGTAATATATTTATATATTTATTTAAGAATGAACATCATGCCAAATTATAATATAGATGTACAATAAAAATAAAACTATCATTATATATTTTTATAAGATCAAAATATACATTGAAATATTATAAGAGTGTATTAAATGCTCAATAAGTAGTATTGTTAGTTGATTATTATGAATAACAACTAATTTTTATTAAAATTTTATATATAATTATATGTTTACAATTATTATATAGACTTAAAATTATTGACCGGTTTTTCGGCCTTGACCGGGTTGACCCACCGGGTCCGGGTTGACCCGTGACCCAGTCATGTGGCCGGGTCACTCTCCAGTCCGGTTTTTGTACAAAAAGGAGATTTTACAAAATCCAATGTGACAGTGGGAGGATGTAAAAATACTGTTACATTCTGTGAGGTATTAAACCACAAGTATGGACTTTTTCTTTTGATCGTCCACAAGTATCGACTTTAAATAAGACAAAACTTTGATGCAAAAGTTATAATCTTAAAAATTGATTTGAGCGATTAATATGTAGTACTTCTGTTGTTTCCTAAAACTTTGTCAACTTTAATTGTTTTTATGTCTCTCTAACTTTGTTATCATTCTAGATAATTCTCTCTCATCTGGATAAATTTTAACCACATAATTTTTACGATATTAATCATCGTGACAGTGAAACTTGACAAAGTTTTAAGGGACAAATGGAATAATAAATATCAAATGTATTTAATTACAGAGTACTTATTAATTTATTTTCAACGTGAATATGTATGGAGAAACTTTTATTGAAGCATACTAGAGATGTTTTCTTTGGACCGTTTTCAGCCACAAACCAGATCAGATCAAAACAGACCAAACTAGACCTGATCAAACCAAACCATATCAGACTTTCATAATTATAAAATAGAGTTCATATATTTATCAGATCAAACCAATTAAAACGACAAACAAATTTGAATCCAAAAGCAAACATCCTAGCTCCCATTTCGAATTAATCTTTATTTTAGATCGAATGGACGGAGCATTTATTGAAAGTATTGGTCAGAATTCAATTAATTAATCAATCATGGAAATAACATATGTGGCCTAAAAACCAAGACGTGACTATGTCAGTTAGGTGTACCATAGCATGATATGATAAGCATAATAACCCCTACTGTCCATCTATCATAGAGGACTTTCCTGAAAGGGAACGAATAATGATTGATTCGTCTGTATAGCAAAACTGAACTTTCTATTTTTGAATACTCCTCCCATTATTATCTTTATTCTTTCAATTTCGGTCCGTCCCAAAATTATTTCCATTTTTCCTTTTTGCAAAGAATATATGGTCACAACCATTTTTACACATTTCTCTTCCCTTTGCAGAACTCTACACCACACAAATCTCACTATCTTAATTTGTGTGCAAATGTACTTGTGAAGATAAATATGGGAGTACAAAAAAGCATCGTACAAAGTATATACTTTTGCCAAGATAACATACTCGCTTCGTCCCGCTAAGAACTTCCTACTTTGACCTACACACATATTTATGAAATAAATTTGACTTTACTGCAGAGTGCACTGTTTCGACATTTTTTGACATTGTTTGGCACTGTTTGACACTGTTTTGATGTAAGGTAACTTTCCATTTAGGGAAATGAGAAGATCATGTTGGGACGGCTAAAAAAGGAAAGCAGGAAGATCTTAGTGGGACGGAGTGAATATTATTCCATCCATTTGGTTAAGATTATCCCATTTTTATTTTTTTAAGTAATCCCACTAACATTATCTCATATCAAACTTGGTAAAGTTTGTGAGACTCTGAATCATTCTTATTTTATTCTTAGTTTATTGAGTCGATATCAAACACATATAAACGTACTTTTTTTAATAACTGTGTCACTTCCTCACGTCCCAATGTTAGTGGGACGGAGGTATTACTGCATAGGAAAAAATTTCACTTCCTTCATACTATCTCCATCCCCCTAAGTTTGGGACAAGAGAAGGTGGCACGGTTATTAATAAAAGTGGATTTATGTGGTTGATATTGAATTGATAAAGTAAGAATGATTTAGAACCACAAAAATTTTATCAAATATGGTATGAGACAATCTTAGTGGGACGGACCGAAAAATTAAAATGGGACAATCATAGCGGGACGGAGGGAGTACTACGGAGTATTAGATTTGCTAATTTTCCTTTTTTTAATTCTAAATATTTTGTCATTTGTCGTTCATAGTAAATAATTTGTCATTGTGCTTATTTATCTTTTCTCTACGCAACTCTCGGAATCCTTCATTTCTCATGTGCTCATTGTATTTCTAAGCAGCCTTCTTTCAATTATGGAATCCGATCCTCACAAATATATTACTCTATTTCCAAATCTCATTTAGTCCGTCCTTCTTCCCCATGAAAAAAGTAACAACAAAGGAAATAAGCAACATCTTTACAAACACTATATTCCAACTATTCCTAACTTTTTAACCATTCTCCTCGAAAACACATTAGTGTCTTCAATCCAGCTTGAGCTATTCATTTTCGCACACACACCTACACATTCATGTTTGTGAAGAGTATTTTTTTGTCTGTATACAGACATAACATATTTGAGAATACGTTATGTCTATATACAGACAAAAAAATACTCTTCACAAACATGAGTGTGTAGGTATGTGTGAAAAATGTGTACCAATAGATTTTTTGTAATGTCTTTCCCGATGAAGCTAGTGGAAAAATATGAGTCAAAGATATACGAGCACCTTTAACAATATATTTTTCCTCAATCATCTATAACCCCATAACACATATTCATTTATTGGTTTTCGTATTGTTGTATCATTAATTAGTAATAATATGTCACTCACGTGTACTTTCTGCTCGAGCTCCTTTTTCCCTATCAATTTTATTGTTTAGTAACGTTTGGAGAATTGAACTTTTTTATGTTTTTTGAAAAAGGAGGTATAATTATTATATTATACTACATCCGTCCCAAATTGAGTTGCAACTTTGACTTTTCTTGGTCAAACAAATTCGTTTTGTTCGCTTACTTAAGATGTCAATTTTTAATTATATTCCAATTTGGAGTTTACAACTTTGAAGAGATTTCAATGTAGTTTATGAATATGTAAATTTTAATTATTAAAAATTGAATTAATTATCAATAGAAAGGTTTGACTTTTATTATTAATTGACAAAAAATGTTAACTTTGCAAAACAATTTGGGACAGAGGAAGTATTATGAATAGTAGTTTTAATTTTTTGTAGCCCTCGATGCCCCTAGCTAGCTCTCTACGCAAAGAGAGTGAAAGCCACTACAATTAACAGCACCGCCTTTCCCCTCCCTCCCCAATGCAATGCAACCCTTTTTACTATCTCCTTTCCTTTAATTGTCTTCTATCTCTCTCTTTTTCTTTTCTTTTTTTTTCTATCTAATTCTATGATAAATATTTGGGGTTCGTACTTCACATGTCTCCTTTACTATTTCATACGGGTTGTTTTGTTATTTCTATCTGCTCCTGGTTATATCCATTTTCGTGGTTGTATATATATGGATGAGAAG